TTTTTTTATTTTTAACTAATCTTAATGTATTAATGATCGTTATATTTTACATTCATTTTCACATGTGAAATAATTTAATGAATTTTCTAGAATGTTTTTAATTACCTACCAGAGGTGTCCACAGGGTGATTTTTCGCACCTCCCCTGTCCTGTCCACCCAGCCCACATTCTCACGCTGCACTGCCCTGCTTTTTCACGTACCCTGTCCTGCCCTCTGCTCTACCCTGTTGATAAAAAGAAGCGTAAGAGAAAAAGCGAGTCCTATGCCTTGCTCCAGAAAAGAGGAGAGAGAAAGAAAGATTACCCTACAAAATTGATATACTATCTCGATTCTGTTTCTCAATCGATTTTAAAGGCAATCAGATTCGTGAATTGTATCGGAAAGCATTGTTTTGTCTAAGGATATTTTACAATAAGACCAACTCCAGTTCAACTGAAAAAATATATCAATATCACCAAAGGATAAGATAAGTAAGGGATGAGGATAGGGATGTGGGTTCAAATCCATTTTTATTTGTAACGGTTACTTATCCAGAAGTACACTGTCAAGGCGCCGATACTTTTGTTGAATTATTACTTTCAAGACGAGAAAATTTTTCATCTTTGTTTGAAAAGAAATAAACTGTTTCTTGAGAAATTTAAGAATTTTACGGAGATCGTGATGATTCATTAAAATAATCAGGGAAATATTTGTTTGTTCGATACACCAACACTAAGATCAGCACTAGACAACATGCAAATTTCATGATCAAATCAAATCCCGCGAAATGTGTCATTTAATTTTTTATTTTAATATAGGAAATCACAAGGATAAGAAGTATAAACACAAATTTTCGAGGATCATTTTATTTATTTCTTATTTCTACCAAATTCATTCGAATGTACATCTATAGATGAAGACATGAATACATCTAGTGTCGTTCTCTGCAATATGTTTTCGATTTTTGAATTTGAACGGCTCAAAAACCGCTTTTTCCTCGAGATGGAAATGTCAAAGTTTGAAGTTCAAATTTGCAGGGTATGAAGACTCATCCTGCCCTGTCCTGTACCATGTTTCGACTTACCCTGCCATGAGTAGGACAGGGTAAAAAAAAGAAATTTTCACCCTGTCCTGCTCAAAACAGAGCAGGGTTATCCTGTCCTGTGGACACCTCTGGTTCGTATTAACACATGATTTTGATTCATATGATGTCAATGTTATGCGGATTCTTACTTTAATCAAAGGAACTCTTTTTCACATAATTAAATCTGCAACAAATACTTTTTTGAATTAATTCAGCAGATCAAAACATAAATGGAAGCTCCAAACTCACTAAATGTCTTTCACGCGTACTGTGAAACAATAAAAAACACAAATTCACGAGAATATAAATAATTATGGGAACCAGTTCCAAAAAAACGATTAATCTACTTTGAGCATTTACAGCTGTTTTCGTTGGAAAAGGTGATCATAAACATTTCTCACTATCTTTTACGAAGAAGAAAATGACTTATATAACCGTTTCAGAGATTATTTAATGTGAATAACGCTTGGAAACCCTAGAGAATATACTGAGTTAAGGGTACCCGAAAAAGTATCCTGTTACCAGTATGTCACAGGAACTTTTGGGTACCAAAGTACTTATAAGTACTTTCAAGTACGTAAGTGGTACTTTGCAGATACCCTGCTACAAAATGTATAGTAACTGGGTACTTGAAGATACTGATCAGTTACTCAATTGGGTACTATTGTACAGTATTTCAAGGTACTCTGCTACCAAAATTTCAGTATGTTCAGGATTGAACCTGACCTTTCACTTTTTGCATTTTTTTTTCTCAAAGCGATTCATTACATTTTTTTTTTCTATTTTATTATATTTAATTTTTTCTATTCCGAAAACTCAACAGGACAAATGTCGAGATCTGACCACACTTGAGTTGGTCGAGTATCCATGAGACCACCTCAGGATAGCCGCTCTTAATCTACGATCAAGATCGGAAAGTTCTCGACTAAGGAATAGTCAAGAAAGAGTGAAGAAATAATCTAGAAAAAATTA